GCAGGAATAACAACAGTGCCTCCCCGATACTGTAGTTATGAGAATGATTCTTGGAGAACCATGAATGCAGCCAGCACTTGGTATTAGCTCTCATTACTGTCTCTCTTCACACTTTGCATGGTAAGCACATGAAATGGGTCTATGGAAGAGGTCACAAGAAAGGATCTAAAAGAGCCACTAAAGATGAGATCTCTACCTAGACTGTGGGAGTATCTGTCACAACTAATGTAGAATGCTGGGTACAGGCACTGTCACATACATTGCTACCAAAATTTGCAGATGATGAAAGTTAGGCTCACAGAAGGAAGCAATGACCCAAGGCCACACAAGTGAGTGGCAGAGTCAGAGCTTCCAGGACAACAGTTGGATTAGAGTAGCCTGTGCGTGTCTGGAGGGCAGAGAGATTTCTGAAGGGAGTGGAGCACCCCATTTACAAACTGCCCTGTCCACACTGTATTTACAAGCTGGATGACTACCTCTCAAGAACATATGGAAGAGTTGTGATTTTGGTGTCCTTGGGAGTGGACAGTAGGATTGGAGGCTGAAGTCCCTGACAGGCTTCCTGAGCCCACCAATCTATATTCCTTTCCTTCTTTTTTTTTTTTTTTTGAGAGGTTTTTGCTATAGGGTGTGTGTGCTTGCCAGAAAGACAGAGAGAGACACAGAGAGACAGAAAGTCAGAAAGTGAGAAATCACCTTCCAGGGGAAATGGCCACACCACAATACCCTCTCCTCTATTCTCTTCTCGGGATCTTGGGCACACATGCACATGCACCCGGCATAAGTTTAAGGCATCGAGTCCGGGACTTGAACCGCGGTGACTACATGGGAGTCCAGTGACATAGCCATTATGCCAACTGCTGGTCCGGACATTCCCTTCCTTCTGTGAGTCCTTCAGGCTTGCAGGGCTTGTACCCTTCAGGTCTCACACAGCCTACACAGTCTCAAAAGAGCATTTTCTGCTTGAACTTTGTAAGCACACATCCCCCCAGTGACAAGGAATTAACACAGTGACTACAGTCTCTTATTGTCCTTGGGCCTGACTTGGTCCCTGAGGGACAGAAAAGCAATTATTGGCCTGCTGACTGAGGCCTGCAGCTCCCAATAGAGGAGAGAAGGTCTCACTAGCAGAACATGCAGCCATTGGAGCTGAGCTGTGGGCGGTTTAAGTTTGAGGACTCGGAGCAAAATGACCAGTGGGGGTTGTCCTGGAAACAAGGGGGGCTGTCTTGGTCCCCCTTTCTGTTCTCCTATCACCTCAGCATCTTTCTGCCCAAAATGTCTCCTCTCCAGTTCCTGTGGTCACCCCCATATGGAGGCCCACTAGATTCTCCTCCATGAGCAGCTGCCTCTGGTACCTCAGCAGCGGGTGGGCATGTCCTGAGCTGAGCGTGTCCCTCATTCGTACCTGTGACCAGGGTACTCCTCTGTAGAGTTCTGTACTTGTCTCATTTTCCCAAATGGGCAGTGAGGTCTTCAGGGCCGATGTGTATCTGATCCTTCTAGGGGAGCCCAGCAGAGCTTGGCCAGGTGTCCAGGCTGTGGGCTTCCTGAAGAGGAAAGACACGTGCAAAGTCCTGGAGGTGTGGTCGGGACTGTGGTACACTGGACGGGAGCGTGTGGGTGGTGGAAAGTACAGGTGGCAGGTGTTGGTGAAAAGGTCTGCAGGGGCAGGTCAGAGAAGGCCCAGAGGGTCAACTAAGGACCTGGGACTTGTCCTGAAGGAGATGGGACCAGGCATGGATTGAGGGAGAGCTTCCCTGAGTGACCACACATTGTCTGGGAATCATGAAGAAAACCAACACTGAGAGCAAAGGGGCCGTCTGACCTTGCACCTAGGGGGTGGTGAAGAGCACTCCTGTCTCAGCTGGCTCCAAACTGTCCTTTCAGCCCTCCTGTCGCTTTGTCTATGCTGCCTTTGAAGGTGACTGCCACCAGGGCCAGGGCCAGTCCAGATGGGGTCCCACACGGAGCAGCCCATCCGGTCTGCACACTCCATGCTCCTGGCGAAGGCCTCACCTGCTCCCACGCTGCTGTCACACGTGGCCACAGCGCCTCGAGCTCATCTTGCTCTCCTTTCAAAAGCCAAGAGAAAATTTGAATCTTAATTCACTTGGTTCAATCATTCCACCGTGTATACATATACCCAAACATCACATTGTACCCCGCAACTACACAATGCTGCTGTGTCAGTCAATACTAACACAGACGTAAAAATAAACACCGGCAGGGTGCAGCTTGGCTGCTCACTTACATGTTTGAGCCTCTGCCAGTGTTGGAGCCACTTGGTTTTTCCTGATCTTGGGGGCCGGCAGGCAGCACAGCCTTCTTAAACAGGTGATGATCCTCCTGGTGATGCCCTGCCGGCCCTGGCTCTCTTGTGAGGCAGAGGCTGTGCCCTGGTGGTGTTTGTCTCCCTCAGGGTCATTATGGCTGTCGGTGCTGTCGGTGCAGCAGAGAGAGGCTCCAGAGTCAACTGCGGGGGCCGGGCTCAGAGTTGAGGTTCTGGCCTTCCCACTGCTGGGCAGCAGGGCTGGGCATGGCAGAGTGGGCTGTTGCTCCAGGTTGTCTGGCAATTCTCTGGGTAGGGAGGCCAGGCTTGGCTCAATGGACGTTGTCTCCAGGATGTCGGCTGATCCTGCGGGTGGAGAGGAGAGGCAAGGCAGGGTAGGCTCTGCCTCCAGGGTGCCTGGCATTCCAGCGGGCAAGGAGGGCAGGTGAGGCAGCGTGGATGTTGCCTCCAGAGTGCCGGGTGATCCTGCCGGCTGTGAGGCTTGGCAAGGAGTGGTGGACTGCTCCTCCATGGTGCTGGCTGATTCTGCGGGCAGGGAGACTGGTTGAGGTGGAGTGGACATTGCCTCCAAGGTGCTAGCCGATTCTGTGGGCGCAGAGGCCGAGCAAGGCAAGGTGGATGTTATCTCCAGGGTGCCAGCACATTCCGCGGGCACGGAGGTCAAGCAAGGCGAGGTGGACGTTGCCTCCAGGGTGCCGGCCAATTCTGTGCCCAGGGAGGCTGGAGGATTCGTGATGGGCTGGGCCTCCAGGTTCCTGGGTGATGCTGAAGGCAAGGAGGCCTGGCGACGAGGTGTGGACTTCACCTCCAGGGTAAAGGGGAACTCTCCAGACTTCCAGGCTGGGTGACGCCTGATGAACTTCGCCTCTGAGTGTCTGGAGGGTCCAGCTTGCGGGGAGACTGAGAGAGGCCGAGTGGATTTTATGTTCAAGCTGGGCACGGTGGCTGGGCAAAGAGAGGACACTCTGTAGGCTTCCTGCCCCTCTGACTCTGTGCTTGAGAAGCTTGATGGGATTACAGGTGGCCAGGAACCCTTCATCTCATTAGAGAGAGTATGGTGGAGAGGCTTCACCTTAATGGTCTTTCCCACATATTCTGGGGGGGACTCTGCATTCTCCTGGATGGTGTGGAACCAGGGGTGGTGTTGGATTTGTTCCAGGGTGAGCCTCTCCGTGGGGTCTGGTGCCAAGATGTTCTTTAGCAAATCTTCTATCTGATGTGATAGGCTAGGTGGTAATGTAAACTCCCCACGGAGGACGCAGTTCCGCAGCTTTTCCAGTGTTGTACCCCAGAATGGAATCGCTCCCGTGACCATCATGTATAAGGTCACCCCGAACGACCATATGTCCACTGCAGGGCCATCGTACCCCTGCCAGCTCAGCACCTCTGGAGCCATGAAAAAGATGGTGCCGCAGAATTCATCCAGCTTCTGGCCCGCGGTGAACCTGGTGCTCACTCCAAAGTCGGCAAGTTTTACTGCCCCAATGCCATCCAGCAAGATATTCGCTGGTTTCAGGTCTCTGTGGACCACACACTGGTTATGGCAATATTCCAGTGCCGATGCCAGTTGTAGGAATACCATCTGGGCTTCCTCCTCCATCATGGGGCCATGTATGGAAAGGTTGTCCTCCAGTGACCCTCCAGGGGCATATTCCATTACTAAATATAAAGTGTCCTTGGTGTCAAACGACTCCAAGGCACGTATGATGTTTTTGTGGTTTAAACTCATTAAGATATTAATTTCTTGATAAACCTTGGACAGGCAGGAGGAGTAGTGGAAGCTTTCTTTAGACACAACCTTAATTGCCACCTGGGTGCCAGTTGGCAAATACCATGCTAAATTCACTTTACCAAACCTGCCCTGGCTGATGGTTTCCAGAAGTTCGTAATTTGTTGTGAAGGTGGTCTCCTCGGTAGACATGGCTGTGAGGCCCTGTAGCCTAATTAGCTACTCTACAACTATATAACTCTATAAGTACAAGAATACCACGAGCCGGAAGTCTTGACTACAATCTGTATCCCAAGTCCGCCAACAGGTCACTGCCAAAGAGCTTCCTGGGCTTCATGGACAAAAATCCTAGGCCCAGCCAGGGCCTTATACATGTTTTGTGCAGGTGACATAACAGTGGCTACCAGTAAGGTCAGAGCAAGAAACAGACCAATCGTGGCTGGGGATATATCACAATGGTTTTTCTCACTTAGTGTATCAGAAAACTCATCCTCTTAAAAAAAAAAAAAGACGAAAAAGGGTGATTTTTTTTTTAGATATTAATATTTACTTTTTAAAAACTTAAAATCTATGGAATGCTTTCATGACCTGTTCTTTCAAGTATGAAAGGTTGTAATGATTTTTGTCTTTTAAAGACCTTTTGATGTCTAAACTCCAACTATTCAGTATCTCTTTCTTTAAATTCTGAATAATTGGTCTCAAATTGGTCCTCCAAGTTAATTGAGATCATGACACTATAGAAGATACTGTTTGTAAGACACAGTAAGTTACATTATTAACATCTGCAGAGCTGAGAGGAAGGTAGTTTACTATCATTTCTCAGAAATATCTTTAGACTTCTCATCTGAAAACTTGCAAGCCAAATGGTGGCACAGCAGTAAGGCACTGCTCTGTGAGCACAACCCACATGGGAAGGTCTGGGGTTCGCATCCTGAGAACTCCCTTTCCACGATGGATACCCACCCATGTGTCCATGACCTGGGCTGGCCAGAGCTTGGAATAGATCATGGCACGGGGACCCTGTTGGGGCTGTCTGTCTCTCTCTCCTGGAAGAAGTGAATAAATTAGAAGCCAAACAGAAGACCTGTAGGACTGAAGGCAGTAGGTTGATATATGAAATGTGTTAAAGGAAAATAACTGTCAACTGATAAATTTAAATCTGGCTCTCTCTCTCCGGACCTGCACAGAGGAGAGGCCGTGTAAGAAGGTAACAAGAGGGCAGGTGTCTGCAAGCCAGGAAGAGACCTAACTGGAAACCAACCATGCTTACACTTTGACCTTGGACTCGAGCCTCCAGAAGTGTAAGAAAATAAACTTCTGTTCTCTCAACTACATGGGCTATGTTATTACGGCAGTCCAGGCAGGCTAATGACAATTGGGGCACTAAAAGTAGGGTGCTACTGTAACAATCACCTAGCCCTGATAAAGTGGCTTTGGACTAAGCGATGCATATAGGCTGGAAGAGTTCCAAGATGCTACTAGAAAAAAAGTTTAGATGCCCTTGAGAGGATTGTCAGGAGGAATATGAATGCTAAAGGTGATTATGATAGGCCTCAGATGGAAATGAGGAAAATGCTGTTGGAAGCTGGAAAAAAGATGGTCTTTGTTATAAGTTGGCAAAGAACTTGATAGCGGTGGCTGAACTGTGGTGTAGTGCTTTATGGAAGGTGTAACTTGGAAGCAATGAAATTTTATATTTAGGTAAGGAGATTTCTAAGCAAGAAGTTGAAGATGTGACTGGCCGGGGCTTCTTTTTATAGTAGAATGTGAGAGGCAGTGTGCTCATGCTGGACAATTCTTTTTACAAGCTGTGTTGATGTACAGTGATGAAATGTACAAAAGAAATTTTAAAAATAATTTATAGGAAATGAAGGAACTTTTGTTTAAGAAAAAATTATCCATAGCTTAAGATTTGGAAATGTCTGTCTTTCCATATTACCAAATGTTAGTTCTCAAGAGAACGCCAAGGATGTGGCTGGACACTCAGTCCCTAAGGAGATTGTCCATGCAGTTAAGCAGCCATTTCAGCAGAAGCCAGGGATAGATATGGGGATTATATGAGCACAGGCACTGTCAGTTTGGACCACAGAGAAGAGAAACAGGATGAAACACAGAAAAGTGTTCCTGCTTCTGTGATTCTACAGAGCAGGACAGGGAAGCTATTTGGTAATGAGCATACTTTATCCTCTAAGAAAAGGGAAGAGGACCCTACATGCAATTCAGTGACCGTGAAGGCACTACCTCAGGTGCAGGGAGCAAAGCACTTTCATACTCATTTTCGGAGGGTGGCATCCCTCCTCAGAACTGTGGGACAGGATCACCACAAGGAGCCACAACCATTGGCCTGGAGGGCAGAGCATTGAGCCAATTAGAATTCTATGCCGTAGATGAAATAGAACTTGCCTTGCTAAGGTTTGGGCTTGTTAAACTCTCTTCTGATTTCTCCCTTATCGAATAGAAATATCTGTTGTATGCTTGTCTCACCATTGTACTTTGAAAACAAATAATCTGTCTGGCAACCCAAGAATACTGATTATGTGTCTATATTATTTTTATGTCTTATTTGCCAAACATGTGTAAATAAAACATGAAGTTTTTAAAGCACATTAGGAAAAAGATTATTATCCTGTCTTTCAAAAATGTGGAAAAAATTAAGACATCCTCAGATACAAAAGCAGACCTCCCGTATCTGATGGGAGTCACTGGACCTCCCGTATCTGATGGGAGTCACTCTGGTTGAAAAGAAAAGACACTAGATAATTTATAGGAAATGAAGGAACTTTTGTTTAAGAAAAAATTATCCATAGCTTAAGATTTGGAAATGTCTGTCTTTCCATATTACCAAATGTTAGTTCTCAAGAGAACGCCAAGGATGTGGCTGGACACTCAGTCCCTAAGGAGATTGTCCATGCAGTTAAGCAGCCATTTCAGCAGAAGCCAGGGATAGATATGGGGATTATATGAGCACAGGCACTGTCAGTTTGGACCACAGAGAAGAGAAACAGGATGAAACACAGAAAAGTGTTCCTGCTTCTGTGATTCTACAGAGCAGGACAGGGAAGCTATTTGGTAATGAGCATACTTTATCCTCTAAGAAAAGGGAAGAGGACCCTACATGCAATTCAGTGACCGTGAAGGCACTACCTCAGGTGCAGGGAGCAAAGCACTTTCATACTCATTTTCGGAGGGTGGCATCCCTCCTCAGAACTGTGGGACAGGATCACCACAAGGAGCCACAACCATTGGCCTGGAGGGCAGAGCATTGAGCCAATTAGAATTCTATGCCGTAGATGAAATAGAACTTGCCTTGCTAAGGTTTGGGCTTGTTAAACTCTCTTCTGATTTCTCCCTTATCGAATAGAAATATCTGTTGTATGCTTGTCTCACCATTGTACTTTGAAAACAAATAATCTGTCTGGCAACCCAAGAATACTGATTATGTGTCTATATTATTTTTATGTCTTATTTGCCAAACATGTGTAAATAAAACATGAAGTTTTTAAAGCACATTAGGAAAAAGATTATTATCCTGTCTTTCAAAAATGTGGAAAAAATTAAGACATCCTCAGATACAAAAGCAGACCTCCCGTATCTGATGGGAGTCACTGGACCTCCCGTATCTGATGGGAGTCACTCTGGTTGAAAAGAAAAGACACTAGACAGGAAATCAAAGCTCTATAAAGAAATTAAAATTTCTGGTAATTATAAGTAGTAGACAGTTTTAAAAAATCTAGTAACTATTTTTATTTTTAACATGATTTAAGTAAGTAATGTATAAAAAACCTGCCGTGATTATTAGCCTCTGGTTTGGACACATAATGCATGCAGATGTAATTGTGACATCAGTGACTGAAAGGGGGTGGGGCCGGACCCAGCTGGGAGCAGAGTTTTTGTGTTATTGAAATTAAACTGGGGGGAACCAGCAGTTAGCGTAATGGCTATGTTGCTGGACTCCCACGTAGTCGACCACGGTTCGAGTCCCGGACCCGGTGGCTTAAATCTCACGCCGGGCGCGTGTGCGTGCATGCCCAAGATCCCGAGAGGAGAATGGAGGAGAAGGGATTGCGGCGTGACCATCCCCCCTGGGGGGTGATTGCTCGCTTTCTGTCTCTATGTCTCTGTCTGTCTGGCGAGCGCACGCGCCCTATAGCGAAGACCTCTCCAAAAAAAAAATTAAACTGGGGGCCGGAAGGTGGCATGGTGGGTATGTTGCAGAAAAACAGATGGCCAAGGGATGAACATGCAGTGCTCTGGAGAGAAAAGCGAACTCTTTAATTATGTTGGTGGACATGGGGGAGTTAACACTCTGAATCTCCAGTCTGCCCCCGCTCCGCCCCATGGGGGTAGAGTACAGTCTTTAATAGGGGAGTTTGGGGAGGGGCAGTTTTCAGCAGGCTAAGGGTATCCTATCAGGGAGAGGAAACCTATCAGGAGGAAGAAGCCATCAGGAGGATGCAGCCCAGAGTTTCTTCTCAAGAAGAAAGGGTCAGATAAGTGGGGCTTCTGGCTTCTCAAGGTCTCAGATTGTTTTTATCACTTCAGAGGGCAAGAGGCAGAGGCAATGAATTCGTAGAGGCTTGGGCAACATTGGTAACTGCCGGCCTTGGGCTATTGTGAGTTCTGGGCCCATCCACATCAGGGAAAACCTCCTCGCTCCTTCCTTTGCTCCATATCCATGTAGACTATTCACTTCGACCTGGGGGCTTTGGGATGCCCTTAATCTTGCTCACCAGCCCCTCTAGTCTGCCTCCTGATCTAGATTGGCATGAATGTCCCTTGAAGAGTTGTGGGTAGTCTGTTTCCTAGAATATGGGGTTGGGCTTCAATCAGTGGTGTCCCAGGCTCTGGGGGTTGCTTGTGTATATATACATCGTCATGTATGTGCAGGGAGGGATGCCCAGAGAGAGTGAGTGGCTTATGTCAAATTCAGAAAAGTGTTTCTGTTGGAAAGAAAAGTGAAAGGGCTAGCATTTTCATCTGAAAAGTGTCCGGGCCCATCTGGGCAGCCATGTTGAAATACATAAACTGAGTGGCTTATAAACAATGTAGTTCTCACAGTTCTGGGAAATTCAAGATCAAAATGCCAAAGTTCCTTGCCTGTCTGGTGAGGACCTGCTTCCACATAGATGGCTATAATTTGGATGTGTGTGTCCTTCTCAAAGCAACACATTGAAATCCTAACCCTCAGGGTGATGGTGTTAGAAGGAGAGAAGTGACTAGGCCACTAGGATAGAATGTTCATGAATGAGAATTGTGCCCTCATAAGAGAGACCCCAGAGCTAGCTTGCCCCTTTTACCAGGTGAGGACAGAGGGAGAAGCTGCCAT